GTCTCCGTTGGCCCACGCGCCAGACTCTGAAGGAGTGGGCGCTGCTGGTGAGCCCGTTTCGGTCGGCTGCGGGCGCGGCTCCCGTGCCACGTGGCCGTGAGGCCCCTGGACCCCCTCACCTACCCGGACGCCGACCGCGTGCTGGTCGCGGTGAGCGGAGTGGAGGGCAGGGCGCGGGCCCTGGCCGGCCTGCAGGTGGAGTATGACGAGGCGCTGAAGGAGGTGGCCATCGTGTCTGACGTCATTGACCCCCAGGCGTCCGTGGAAGTGACCGCGCCCCTGAAATTCGGCAAGTGAAGTTAAAACGGGTTGGATCCCAGCACATACCCAGCGCTTCGTGAGTTAGGCCGACATACATTTTTAATTGGTGCCTTTGGAGCTGACTTTCTAACCTAATTTACAGTTGCCCCCCTTCGGAAGGTGCCTTTTTTTTTCTGTCTACTTTGGGTTTCCGAGTAGTAGTTAGGAATTATGTTCTCAATTACAGCAATTTTATAAATCAAGTGAAAACATGATTTGAAGTAATCTAAATTAGGTAACATTTGTGGAGCCCCTTTTATTCTCCTTTGGCACTTTGTCCGTATTTCGGTGAATGTAGTTTGTCAATGGCAAAGTGGTTTATGTTTCAGGGTTAAAATTTCTTGATAATCCATTCACTGGCATGACAGTTCATCCACATTTCCCTTGCTCACACCCTGGCCCCCCCCAACAGCCCTGTCTATAGAATGTTCCATCTAAACTGGACCAAGTGTTTGTTTTCAGATAGGCGCCCAGCTTCCATTCGTTTAGCCTAAGTAAAATTTTTGTGAGAAGCACGCTATGAAGAAAAACACATAGTAAGACTGCCTGGGAAACTTCAACTGATAATGCCTGCCAGATAAGTTTCCTAGGTAATTGGGTTCCATGTTCCTTCTCAGATGTAAGCCACTGTGTATGTAACACTTTTCTAGGAAAGTCTTCCCTAGGACTGAAGGAAGATATTGATGATGACCATAATAGTAGCTGACACTTCTAAGATAGTTTCTAATCCTAAAAGTTGCACTATTTTATGGTCACTGTCATTGTCACTGTTTCAGATAAGGAAATTGAGATACAGCAGCTTTTGTATACTAAGTATTTATTGTGGATGAACAAATGAAAAAAAAACTATGCCTTCATGAAACTTAATTTCTTGTGAGGATAGATAAAGAATTAGGCCTATTTTCTCTCAGATATAAAGAGATGGAGCTGGGATTTGAACTGACTGGAGTCTGCTCAAACACTATGCTTACTGCCTCCCAACTTCTTTTAACTTACAGTAGATGAATAAGAGACCCTGATCTCAAAACATCACAGTCTGGGGTGAGGAGGAAGTTTTGCCAATTTATTATGTAGACTAAGAATTGAAACGGAGATAAGGAAAATTTTATGACAGCACTGATAAAAATGGAACTACTTGTGCTGGTGATCCGAAACCCCATTATTTGCTGATTCCTCTTTTTAGAGCCAGAATCTCATTTCCAGTTTATTCTTTTTATGTGTCTATTCTACGGGTGCCTCATGTGAACATAATTCCATTTTCTTCACACTTATTTTTGTTTTTCCAGTTTGTCTATAACAATTTCAGTGAATTGGTGAGAGTAGCATTACTACCACTCAGTATCTAGCCTTAGCTTCTCTAACTACCTAGTGAGTGTCCAGTATATTCAGAATCTGTTTCCTTCTCTATATACCTGTCAACGCTGCCTTAGATCAAGCCTTATGTTGTAACACTACTTAACTGGGTAAAAATTTTGCAGTTACATTTGCATCCATGTAAGTATGGGTTAAAATTGTCTTTTTATGTATTTTATATTAATCCCAACAAAAATACTGCTATTATTTTAAGCCTTTATAGAGACTGCCATGTACACAACTGTAGAAATTGACTTTTATGCTGTAACTGTTGGAATTGTGGTGCTAGGCCCCAGTAGTTTGTGTTTGGGGCAACCTAGTGTTTACTTCTCTGGTCTGGTTTAAGGGAAATCATCAATATTTATTTGAATTAGATACTAAATATCTGTGTTTTTAATTTTTTTTATACAGATATACCTAAGGTTACACCTTAAATTGAATTTAAGGTTAAACCTTAAAGCCAAAGATGGCACCTATGACTCCTTATTTTACAAACTTTCTTCATATACATCACTGTTATTTATTCATAATCTTGAGGGTTTGATACTGTTTAGAACTAGGTTTTCAACATTGTGCCCACTTTTTATTCTGATTCCTTGTGATATAGCTACATGGTATTACTTTCACTTTTTACATATGAAAGTTTACAGGTAGTATTTGAAAACCTCAGTCATGATCATATATACTGACCCATGCTACTCTTGCAGTATGCCTTTTATTCTGGGGAGGTTTGGGAACAAATCTTTGAATCTTCATGCGTATAGGAGAGAATAAGTTGACTGACATCCAATTCGCTATAATGACTTGTTAACTTGCTGTATTCTTATTCAGATTTGTATGTGTGTGTATTTTTTCAATGGGGAAGAGCGTCTGTGAGCTTTCCCAGGGAGGGATGCCTATAAAAATTAGAATCTCTGGGGGTGGAGGTATTAAAAAAATTAAAATTTCTGGCCTCTATTACTTCTGTCCTATGTTACTTTCTTTAGATGATGCAGGCCAACAGAAATAACTGCTTTATTTTTAAAAACTGGTAGAAAAGGACTTTACAGTTTGCCCTGTTGCTGTGGTGGAGATTCCTCACCTTCAGAGAGAGGCTGGTGACAACCGTGTTCTCTCCAGGGTTCAGTAAGATTACGGACATAACTGAGAAGCTGGATCTCTAGGGGGTACTAAAATGCTTTGGAGCTCATTAACCGTAGTGCTAACTTGTTTTTTCTGTTTTTCGTTTCTAGATTTGAATATCAAGTCATCAGGGTCTGGCTGTGTGAAAGTCCAAAATATTGAGTGTGATAATTGCAAAATTGAAACTGAGCAGGGGACTAGCATCTTACAGTCCGTTAAGGTATAAACATTTTTCTAATTTTGTTTCAATATTTTTTAAAAACCTTAAACTCTGAGCTATAGGATCAAACTAAAGCTGTTATTCTGAGTATCATTTATTGAGGATATTGAGTATCATTTACTCATCACTCAGAAATTCCTTGCAGAAATTTTGCCTTAAAATCAGTTCTGTTCTGAAAGTACAGAGGTTGAGGCAACTTTGGTTTTTTTCTCATATTCCTTTTAGATTTCATTTCAAAGTGTACAGTGAAACTAATAATACGTTCTTTGTATTCTGAGATGTTATTAAGTTAAAGAAATTCTAGTTTTAATGAATGATTTTCTTCCATTTATTAAAGAGTAAGGAAAAGTCTTTAAGCATTATAAATGTGCTTAAAATATTAATGTAATCAAATTTTAATGTACTAGGTAGCTCATTATTTTTATTTTAAAAATTTTTTTATTGAGATATAGTCATTTTACAATGTTGTGTCAAATCCTAGTGTAGAGCACAATTTTTCAGTTGTACATGAACATATATATATTCATTGTCACATTTTTTTTCCCTGTGAGCTTAGGTAGCTCATTACTTAAGGATTAAGTAGGTATTTGTGCTGAACAACAAATGATTCATCTTGCTTTATAATAACACTTAATTTTTTGTACTGAAGTACAGTCAGTTGCAGTGTGTCATTTTCTAGTGTACAGCACAAAGTTCCAGTCATGCATATACATACATATATTTGTTTTCATATTCTTTTTCATTAAATGTGTAATAACACTTTTATATTTAATTTTCTTAAAATTAGGTTGGTCTCAGCTATAAATGATTTCAAATACATCTCTGATAAGTTCTAGCTTGTTGTTACTGCCGGTACTTCTTACACTTGCATATACAACACTCAGTGTACCTTGGAGAACTTTGCTGGCACATAACTTTGTTGAATAGAGATCAGTCGTCTTTGCTTCATAATTGCAAAACATTTTCATTTTTAGATTCATAAACACTAACTAAAATGATTAATTTGATGCATTTAAAATTTTTTACATTTGTTTTGTTCCAGCCACCTTTATTTGCACACCTGTCTTTGACATCTGTTCACCTGTGAACCATTTCAACAAATTTAGTTGCACAAATATCTAAAAATATTAAAGAATACTATCACACATCCTTTTAGAAAAATGAAATGGTTCCGATTCTTGTAAAAGATTGCATGACATAGTTTTCATGTTGAATAACTTACTGGCTGAGAATACCATGGTTCCTTTTTGTCTTTAGAAATATATTGTTCACTCATCAATGCTTGAGTTTCAGAAAATTCCTTTAGAATATTGTCCTCTGAGGACTTAGAATCTTAGATTTTAAATTTTGCAATCAAAATTAGAAGGTACTGTACTGCTGTCTGTCTCTTTGCAGTCAGTCATCTTTTGATTCACCTGATGGTTCTGAAAGATCTGTTTTCGTCAGTTTTCTATTTTTTGCCATTATGTGCATAAAATGAAAAATGTTTTCTCATCTTGGGCACTATTGATGTTTTGGGCTGGATAATTCTTTGCTGTCTGGAGCTGACCTATGCCCTGTGGGATGTTCAGCAGCATTCCTGGCTTCTACCAACTAAATGCCAGGAGCACACTCCTCACTTAAAACAATGAAAAATATGTCCACAAATTGTCCGTCCTCTGGGGGAGAAATCACCTTTAGTTGAGAACCAGCATTCTAAGCAAGTTCATCGTTCTTCTGTTATCTTATTCTTTTAGACTTTTTATTTTTTTTAGTGTAGTTAGGAATAATTGACAATGATAAAAAACTGCTAGGATAGTGTAATAGCAAAGTGTTATGAGAATGAAAAATGAGAACACTAAGATCCTATAATGTATTTTAGATTTACAAAAGAGTCCAGTGAGCCTTTATGGTAATTTTAAAATAGAATGGATTTTATTCTTTTAAAATAGGGAAAATTTTAGTTTATTCTTTGGAAGTCCTCTAAGAAAGAATAAAAGTCATGAAATATCAGTCCTACAAATAGAATAGCTCAAAAGAGAAATAAGGGAATTAAAATTGGGTCCAGTGGATCCTAATGGCACTCCAAGAGTCAAGATCTTGAGATCTTAGGATTCAACTGACTTAAATTCAAAAATGGGAACACTTGATAAAATATCCGGTGTAAATTTTAAATATAGTACAGTATCATTATCTCAAATTAGTGACTGTCTATTAAGGTAAGTTTCTCTTCCACTCATTTTAAGGACTTGAAATATATTTGATCTAAGTAATGAAATGTTTATAGCAATAATAATCACTCCTGTTTACCAAGACTTTATTATGTGAAGCACCAAGAAATTGAGGACTCATTTAAGTTTACCTAGCTAATAAATTGAGCTGAGATTTGAACTTGGATTTTTCTGATTTCCAAGCTTATGCTCTTTCCACTGTTCTTTATTGTCCAGGAAGAATGCATGGCAACACTACATTTATCCAGCACTACTAGGGAATAAGTAAATAAATAAATAAACTTTTTAGGCAGTAGATCCTTAACTCATTAAATGCTACAAATTTGCTTTTTTAAAAAAATACAATAATAATAGTTTATATTATACTAAATAGCTTCTGTTTTATTTAAACATTTTAACTAATTTGTTTTACATATGTTTTTAAATTTTATAATCTACTTCACTTTTTTTTGGAATTAGATGAGCTTTAAATTTATGGTAATGGCTCTTAACATTTTTGAACTTTAGACCTCTTTAAAAATATGATGATTGTTTCCTTAGGAAAAAAAATGCCCGTGTATATGAAATTTTGCTTACAATTTCATAAGTTTCACAGACTGTCTGAAAAGTCATGCAAGCTTGGTTAAGAACTTTTGATTCAAAATAACAGTTGTTTTGGAGATATTTTTTCTAAAGTTCATCAATTACTTGTCTGCTTGATAAAGACTGTATTAAATACTGTTTGACTTTAGACTCATGTCTCTGTGGGCATGAAGTAGTCTACTGTACTGTAATATAGATAAACTTTTTAAGAATGATTCATTTTTCCCTTTTAACTAATTCTTAAAAAATTAATTCCTGGGTTATTTTACCTAAGATTTTACATTATTTTCCCCTGAAATAAAGCAACCGGAAGGTACATGGTTGTTTTGGATTTTTTTTCCTACTTTTTAGACACTTCTCTGCTGTTGCTGGTGATAATGTTGGTGAGTTTGCTTTTGTTGTTTTTCTTCCTCTGCTATTTACCTGTTCTTTTTTTCTTTATAGTTGTGATAGAACTGAAGACATATACAAATAGTTAAGGTGAAGTAAGCTGCTCTAAAAAATAGACCAAACATCTAATGGCTCACACACAACTGTAGTTTATTTCTCGCTTATGTCCAAGTGTGTAGGTGACTCATTTCTATTCAGTTATTAGGGGTTCCTTCCATCTTCTGATTCTGCCATCTTTTAGAGCTTTATTTTAATCTGCACTCATCTGGTCAGAGACCAGAGAAGGCACGTCAATTCTTGTAAAAGCTCTGGCCTAGAAATTTCACATAATATTTCCACTAACATTCTGTTGACAAGAACTTAGCAGCATCTAAGAGGTAAGGGAAGCTGGAAAATATTGTCTCTTTATGAGTCCAGTTATATACCCTTACTACTTTAGGGGGAAAATGGATTTTTGTGAACCTATTATAGTTTCTGCCACAGTTGCCAAATGTGAAATCAAGTCTCACACACACACACACCATTTATTTATTTTTTGGCCTGGCAGAGGAGGCCAACTGAATGCTGTTTTGTTTGTGGTTAGAGACATTTTCACTTAATTCTAGTTTCTGGTCTGTGTTGTGCTAGAAAGTTTTAACAGTCAGTGAGTTGTTATCCTAAGTGTGAAAATATACTTCTTCAGATGACTCCAGCCATAAAAGTGTAGGTTTTGAAATCATACAGAGCTTGATTCTGTTAATTAGATTTTGTTGTTTTCTAAAGTTTCAGCTGATAAAGTTATTTAACCTTTCTGCTTCTTGAATTTCTGCCTCTGTCACATGGGAGAGTGTAATACCCATCTCTCTTTGAGTTGTGTGGATTAAATCATAGTTCATGTAAAGCAGTGAGCATTGTTATTTGGTGCAAAGAAAATGCTAAGTAAGTGATAAATATTGTTATTAATAGTGATAAACATTACTAACGATGAACACTAACAGTGGTAACTGTTGTCATCCTCATCATCATTCATGTTTAGTTAGGCAGTCACAGTGATCTTTGATTCCCAGCCCCTTTCTCTGTGAAGCTACTGTAACACCCAAGTATCCCTTCTTTTTCCCTTTGAGTCCAGTAGCTTATTTAATCCCTTTAATATCAGTTGACATTCTTTTTTATTGATGTTATTATCTCAAACAGTGTATTTCTATTTCATTCCTAGTTCCTCTTTTTCTGCTTTATTATTATTTTAAAAGAAATGTATAAAATGTTAAAAAAATTTATTAGTATAAGTCAAATTTATTCTCTCTTTTTCTACATGTGTATTTTTGTATTTGTCTTTCAGAGTCCACAATTACACATTCAAACAAAAGGAGGCAAAGTGATCTGTCTGGGAACAATTTATGGAAATATAAATATTCATGCATCAGATAAAAGTGTAAGATTTAAATTTTCTTTTTTAGTAATTGCAATTTTGCATCAAGTTGTCTCACACAGTGGGTAGTCTACAAAATCTGCAGCATAACATTCCCTTTTTAATGCATTTTAGTTCATTAGTAAATTCATATTTGAAATTGATACAATTAAATATTATACAATTTAATTTTAATTTGTGATTTAATACTTTTGACATTTATGTAGTTCCCTATTTGGAATCAGTAATCTGTCTTTAAATACTTAATAGTTACTTGTAGTTATGAAGAGATCTTTATTTTTATGATCATGAGCTAAGATAAGTTACTAAGTAATACTACCATAAGTGGGATTAAATTTTTCTTAGTATTAGGTTTATCTGAGTATTTTTTCCAAGACTTGTTTATTTTGCCTTTAGGCATTTGAAGGATGAGTTTCAAAACTCAGCTTTCTTCAGTATTTTCCACAAGATGGCACCATTAGATAGCATTATTGTTCTCCAGAAACTTATTAGCTGTAGGGATTTGGGTTGTTATAAGACAGTTTGTATTTTTCAGTCAACGTTTGTTGCTTTCTGTGATTTAGCATAATACTAAGAATAAACGTATAATTTGAAGTATAGTCACATTTTTTTCAGTAATGTTTTTAAATCTTTTAGAAACATCTAACACCTTTTATTTTACACTTTTACAATTTGCAAAGATCTTCTGTTGTAAATTTGTTCAATTCCATACTTAGCTTTATTCTCAGATAATTGGTGTGGAGGAGTTGTGAGTATATCTTGTAGGTAAATGATTGTTGGCATAATTAAACATAGTAGGTTATGACATTAATTGTTTCTAGTGTTGTCACTCTTATTTTCCATCACCCTTCTCTGTTTAAACCCAAATATTCAAATGTATCCTTTAAATTAAAACAGGAAAGTGTTGAAACATACTGCCTGGCTTTATGTGGCAGTTCTTTTGAGATGGCATTTAGTTTCACTTCTCTGACTGTTGTGGTCTTGGAGGAGCAAGGGAAATTCAGACAACCGCAGTTGCAGAATATTACATGTTGGCATTCAAATATAACTATCAAAGAAGAATTTAAATCATCTCAATTATTTGCTATTTTTAATATTTTGGCCACTGTTTTTACTTACTATTTATTTATTCATTCCAACTTTCATGGTTTATTGATTAATTGTTTATTCTTCCTTTCTATTACACTATTTTGTTTCCTGCCTGATTGAGTTTTGTGTTATACTAAAGAATCAGTCTTGATAATTCTTTCGATTTTTATTATATATACTGTTAAGTTTTAAGGCATATTTCTAACTTTGTGAGTTTTTATATAAAATAAATGCTATTGGATTGTGTTAACTTTTAACATACAACTTTAATGTGTTTTGGATATTTGAGAGACAGCATAGTGAGTTGGTTAATAGCACAAAATTGAGAACCAGAGTATCTGGGTTCGAATCCTGGCTTAGCCACTTACTAAGCTCTTTAACTTTAGGCAAGTTATTTAACCTCTGTGTGTCTTGGTCTTTTGGAATATGGAATAATAATGATGATGTTAACTCGGGATTATTATGAGGGTTAAATTAGTTAATATATAATACAGATAAAGTACTTAAAACAATGTCTGGCATAGCTAACTCTAATATACTGTTGACTATCATGATGTTGATAAAGGTACATGAAACACAGGAAGGATCATTTGACCAGTCCTAGACCTACCAGTTAACTTTACTAAGACTGTTTTCATTATTCATAAAATAGGGATGGTATTTGTTTTTTCCTACTCAGCAAGATTGTGAGAATCAAATGAGCATTATAAACACTTAACAGTATTCTTTTTATCTCATTTTGTATGAAATGGCTTTTTAAAAATTGTATCATTAATTTCAGTATCCTAGTTTTGGTACAGAGAAGACAGAATACATTTTATCTGATCGTTGGATGAGTTGATGACAATTATCAGTTGACCTCTCTTAGTTTGGGCTACAAAGCCACAGGTTTTCCTTAAAACTTCATTTTCATTTTGTATAATGTTGATTTACAATAACTAAACCTCATGAAAAAAATTCTTGTGTAGAAAAGAAAATTAATTTATAGCATTATCTCTGTCAGGAAGCTATTTTTAGATCACTTTTTCTTTCTTTAAATAGCTACTTCTCTTAGTAAGCAGGCTTTATAGTTTAATCCTTTATAGTTTATTTATGACACTTTGTTCCATTAACATTAATAACTATAAGTCAGAGTCTTGATATTTCACTGTAATATGGTGTTCTAAGTTTAATTATTCTAGTTGGTATCTGATATAGTGCATTATATGTAGGCCTCAGTGAATTTTGTGTTTCTTTAAAATTAATTTTAGGGATTGATTGGTTAAAATAACTATATTGTGGTAGGGAGGTGTTGTACTTTCTCTTGCTTACATTTGCTTTGGTGGGGCAAGAGAGAATATTTTTTAGCTTTCTACCGAGTAAAACATTTAGTGTTTAATGAACAAAGTAGATTCTTGGCATTTCTCTAGTACTCGTAAGGAGTGTCTTAATTACTTTATTTGTGGGTCTAAAGTTCCCCCTTGCCATTTAATTAAGTTTCAAATATGATTTTAATATTTATCTAAAACTGACTATTTATAGTCTAGACTATTCCTACTTGTCCGCCTGCTTTATGGACATACTTGGAGAATTTGAAGCCATCCGTAAAGTAATTTTTCATGAAGGAATTTTATGGAGAGGAAAAATTTTTTCGGAAATTCTATACCTTTACTATAACACTGAGGAATCTAAAACATTTATATTCTCACAAATCTGAATATATATAAAATACCTGTCTTTCTTTGACAGATTTATTGACACTAGATTTAAAGTAAAAATTCCTATGAATCCATAATTAAAAGAAACTGTCGTACAAACTGTAGTAAGCAATTGAGTGTATTTTATATACTTAGTAAAAGTCCATTAGAAAAGAAAATCACGTTTCAAATCCAGATGGCAAAGTAATTCTAATATGCTTCCCATAACAACCTCAGGGTACTTTTATGTCTATTTTTGTAGTTTCTCTGTCTCCTAATATTTTACTATTCTTGAATCTCAATTCTTCTTAAGTAATATTTTGAACTCTTAACAACTTCTGAGGGAATAATTAGGATTGAATAACACTGATATCAGTGCTTTGAAAAACAATGATACTCTTTCTTTAAATGCCTCAGTGTAATGCTTGAATTTGATTCTGAGCAAAACTGTGGCAAGTCTTCCTGGTGATTCAGTTTTTATGTCAACAGTTTTATATTAACACTCACTTTATGCTTATAAAACAATTGTTTAAAATACTGTAAAGATGATTTGAAATCCTTAACTAGATATCTTCATATTACATTGTGCTCAATATTTGAGACATAAATACATACTAAGTTTTGTTAGAGAAGCTTTGGGTTAAATACAGAATGCTTCCATTCTGTTCATTGAAAAGCTACTGACTTATTAGATGTAAAGTAGAAAAAATTCTAGAAATAATAGTGTACTCACTACATTAACAGATGAAAGAAGAAAAATCATTGTGATAGTCTAATGAAATCAGATAAAAGATGTGCCAAAATTTAAAACCCATTTATGATTTAAACAGCAAAAAAACCAAATTTGAAACATAAGGAAATTATCTTAATCTAACAAAAAGGAATCTAAAAGATATGTATAGCAAACATCATTCGTAGTGATGCAACGTTAAGCTTTTCCTCTGAGAACAGGAATAAGATAAGAATATGCTTGCTGGTCATCTCATTGCTTCTATTCACTGTTGAATTAGGGGCCTGAACCAGATAGAAAGGCAGGAATGAGCAGAAAAACAGTATTAATATAAAGATTGGGAGGGAAGAAATGAAACTATCACTTGTAAACAGTATAATTATGTTTGTATAAAATGTTTTTGGTTCAAGTAAATTATTGGAACCAGTTAAGTGAGCTTATTGAGGTTGTTGGATTTAATGTCAAATTCCAAAGCCAATTCACAGAAAATGAAGTTTAAAAAGATATCTTTTTTAATAGCACTTAGAAAATACCAAAGAGGAATAAATTTAACAAAAGCTGAAAAACTCTACATAGAAAATATAAAACATTATTAAGAGAAATTAAAGAAATGCTAAATAAATGAAGGAATGTAATAGGTCTGTTCCACAGAGAATATACTGTTGCTCACAATCTTATAATTAGAGCTGGGGAATTGAAGTCATTAAAGTGATTATGTACTGTCCAGATTAGCTGCCCACTAATTCTGAAGGCGTCATTTTGGCTTTTTATCAGTCTTTATTTTACAATGAACTGATGTGAGTCTTTCTCTTCTTACTAGACTGTAACCATAGATAAACTTCAAGGAAGTTCTGTTAATATATCTACTGAAGATGGTTTGCTGAAAGCCAAGTATCTTTACACAGAGTCGTCATTTCTATCTTCTGCTGCTGGGGATATTACATTAGGAAGTATTCATGGTAAGATGATAAAGTCCTAATATGTCTCAGATATGCCACATAACATAAATTTTAAGAGATCACTCTGTTTCTTTGTAGTTGAAGAAGGATCTGCATTAGGAAGCTACCCTTCTAAATAATTGCAGACTAACCGTCTTTTTAAAAACCCATAAAATAAAGTGACTCATAAGCAATTTAATTTTATTTTGGCAAGAAATTGAATATTATGTCATTATACATGAAGCTAATAGTAATTCTGATTTTTAAAAATGCATTTCCTTATAGAAATAAACAGCAAGAAAATATGTGCAGGAATATTCAGAGGAAAGCATAGTGAAATAAAAGCAATGTTGAAAATAAAATAAAAATGTATTCTGAGTGATTGCTTTTATGATAGGAAAGCTAAGGATTGAATAAACTAATGAAACACTTGTGTTGGATCTGATTATAACAATTCAGAGATACTAGCTTTGGCTAAAATGCTCTATGTGTATTAGTTGTAGCACAAGGTCCTCCCAGTGCCCTGCCATTTTCACTTTTCTTTTTTTTTTTTAATATATATAAACTTTTTTTATTGAGTTATAGTTATTTTACAGTGTGTCAAATTCTAGTGTAGAGCACAGTTTTTCAGTTCCATTTTCACTTTTCATTGACTGAATATCATCTTTCAAAACATGTCACTGCAGATAAGTGATATTACTTAGTTAACTTTCATATTATTGAAAGAAAGAAAAGAGCATAATGGTGAGCATAATATAGCAAAGGGCATGCTGGTATTCATTGTCACTCAGCATGCTTCCTAAATTTTCACATAACAGATGATTTAAGTCCAGGTATGTTTTCTGAAATATACACAGACAGAATTAAGAATCATTTATTCTGGTAAGTAAGATATGCTCTGCTCAGTGCCTTTTGGACCATTTTCTAGTATTATAAACAAACTTTTGTCATATATAGTCCACTCATGTAACTTCTATTGGAAAGCTGAATATTGTCATCTATACACTTTGGTTGAAAACCTCCAGATTTTAGTAGTCAGCATGAATTATTAGATGGTATCAGAAAGCCTGGCTAGTGCTAGCTATGCTGTACAGCATGTTGGCAAGTAGTCTTACAGTTAAAAAAAAAATGAGTACTTATATGCTTGAAATAATTCTTGAGACTTAGTTAAATCTCATTAGCCATTCTTACGGGTTTAAGGTATTTGAGTCCAAAATAGCTTGAGTGTAATGGAGCTGCATCCAGATAAAGCAAATAGTTTTGTTACTTACTCATGTATTTCCCTTTTTAATTCAGCTGTACCATGAATAGTTCTGGTAATTTGTAACTCCGTATTTGAACAATGACTTTTATGTATGCATTGCACTTCTAATTGTTAATGGTAATTAAAAGTATTATACTTAATATATTGAGTAACTTTTAGTGGAAAAGCAATTCCTTATCAAGTCAAATGTTGTTAACACCCACAATAAGAACAAGCTCTGTTCTCTGCAGTGCTTTATACCATGTTAACACTAAATTCATTAATGTTTAATTTTTTTCTTTCTTTTAAGTTAGTTGAGAATTGAACTTGGTACAATTTATCATTAGGAGCTTACATAATAGTAAACGGGTGCACTTTTTTTGAAGCAGTCCTCAAAATACTCTAGGTGTCTTGATTGCTTACAGTGGCTGAAACGGAGACCAATTGCGAGGGACAGAAGCGTTCATTCCTTAGCCTTTGTAAAGCCTTTATATTTACTGACCTTTAATGTGAAGTGAAATACCTTTCCTTGGGTGGTTTAAATCTGGGTCAGACCTAGATCTTCTTTTGGACCGTTGTCTCTGGTTGGGTTTTTGAAAGCTGACTCTGAGATGAAAATTAGAATGCAGCAAATTTACCAAGGAGGCCTCTAGGGAGCAATACCATACAAAGGAAGGAAGCCCAATTTTCACAGAAGGTAGACTGATACCGTCTCAGCATCCCCAAAGGGGAGCTCTGCAGCTGAGATGGTCCTCAGAATTGTCTTAGACTGGGGTGAGGGGAGATGGACCTTTATATCCCCAATCATTAGATGCAGGCTGCCCTGGAAGGAGTATGATCTTGGGTCAGATTGGCTCTCTTCAGCTGAGGCATTTCCCTAAAAAGCTAACAAGTAAGGACTATCTGCCAGCAGTATTCCCAGTAACGAGGAAAATAAGTTCTGAATGGTGACTCATAGCATCCACTACAGTTATGTTTATTGATTCATTCAACACATGAATTGACCTTCTACTGTGGGCCAGATTTGCAGTCACCCAAGGTATGCAGTTGGGCAGGAGATGATACCTATGTTTAAAGAACTTACAGTCTTGTGGAAGGATGGGATGTCATCTTTCTTATTTGTAATACTGGTAGAGCAGTGAGAAGTAGGAGAAGGGAAAATTTCATCTAGTCAGCACTGTGGAAAAGCTTCCATGGTGTTCAGCCCTGCTTTCTCCATCTAGTCCTTGGGCCTCGCTCTGCTTTGGTTTTCAGTGGTAGTAAGTATATAAAAGAGAGAGTTATGAAAGAAGCCCTTCTCTTTCCTTAGTCATACTCAGTGCCTACCTGCTTTTTGAATCACCCTTCAGATAGGCCCAAGTTTCTTGCCTCCCCCTCCCATGCCACCTCTATTTCCATCCTTGTCCTGAGGGGTTATATGCACATCTTGAGTTTGGAGGTGAGATTGGTACAGAAGAGCAGGCAGTGTTCTAGCCCTACATCCTATTAGGTTAGAAGATTAGAGTCATAACTGCTGAAAGGAAGTCCCTGTGTTCTAGCTACTGGGATTTTAGTAGGAGGAGATACCTCCCAAGGATCGCACCCCAAGCTGGAACTCTGAATATAAATTGCACTGAATTCTTTGTTTTAAATGGTGATAGTCATAAAACACAAATTAGATACATATTTTGGCTATATTTAAATAAACTGGCTTTAGAATTTTAAAACTTATTTTTATGGGAAAATGTATTGCTACTTCTAAACATCTGACTTAATAGAAAACAAACTCAGAAGAATATATACATTCTAAGGCCTGCCTGTTCAGGATTTATTTTGTTTGGCTTCTTTCTCTCAAGGCTTAAACTGATTTTTTTTCTTCAAGTAGATTTTTAAAAACCCAATATACAGATGTTGTAAAAAGCCATTTATAGCAGAAATATGATGACAATAACTGTCTTTTTGATAAATTTACCAGGTGTATGAGTGTGGAGCCCTTGGGTCAGTAGGTGGTGGGTGGTTGTTTAGAAGCATAAGGAAAGCAAACATGTATTGAGTGTCTGAGTGAGCCAGCCCCATTACTAAATGGACAATTGGCTGTTTACAGATGAAGAAAATAAAACTTAGAAATGCCTAATTTTTGCTCTCAATTACAAGTTAATTAGTGGAAGAGCAAGAATTCGATCTAGATTTCCTGACTTTCCAGGAGATGTTTTTAAACAGTGTTCAAACAATGTGTACACATAGCTGTGGTGAATTTCTTGATTGCAACCCAAATTCTATCATTGCTTTGAGGGCTTCCTGGCTCATTCTAGAGTGTTAAGATTTAGCTTAGTTTCATAGAGCCATTCAGAGACTCAGTTCATTTTATAAAAGTGATGCTATCTTCAGTGTTTGGTTTCTAAGGCTTCCATGAAAGGGAGAGAGAGCATGAAATTTATTTTTTGTCTGTATTTTCTCTTTGTTCATATACCCTGATGGAAATCAATACCCAATGTAGTGCTAAATACTTAAGAGGATGCCCAGTAATGAGCAAAGGGAAAATAAAAGGAGAAATAATGTCTTTCCTAGTCTTGCAAATTACTACTATGTGCAGAGAAGGAAAAATAAACTATCTTAAATGTTTTTCCAAGTGAAAATTTAAGTATAGCTAACTATATTTTCAGGGTAAGAAAATGAGTAATCTAGTTCACTAATACTATTTACTATTTATAGTGTTGGTTGAATCACATCTGTTAAGTACTTATGCCTTCTAATATGAAAGAAACTAATTTCTCAACAGATATTCCCCAATGTTCTGGCATTGGGAATCTAGTGGGAGAATGGGTATTTGGATAGTTTGTGTTTAGATATAAAATTCTGTGACAGTTTATTATCCTAATTATCTTCTAAATTATCAAAAGTTAGACTCTTTATAAAGTACATTTTATTATATTCTACTATTTGAATATTTATGATTTTTAAAGAATTATATATATGTATTTGTAAGATATACATGTATTTATATATATTCTACTAAATATATTTTTAAAGTATAAATGTGTATAGTCTCCTGACTCTTTTAGAAGGAAAGAAAAGCTTCCTTGAAATGGTTTGCTGGAACATGGATGTTACTGGAGAATGTCATTCTAAGTGAAGTAAGCCAGAAAGTGAAAGAAAAATACCATATGAGATAGCTCATATGCGGAATCTAAATTACAAAAAAAAAAATAAGTACAAAACAGAAACAGACTCATAGACATAGAATACAAACTTGTGGTTGCCAAGGGGGTGGGGGGTGGGAAGGGACAGACTGGTATTTCAAAATGTAGAACAGATAAACAAGATTGTACTGTGTAGCACAGGGAAATATATACAGGATCTTGTGGTGGCTCACAGTGAAAGAGAATGAGACAATGAATGTATGTATGTTCATGTATAACTGAAAAATGGTGCTCTACACTGGAATTTTGTAACTGGGAAGGACATACATTACTTGAAGAGGGTGCAGAGGACAGACTGGTCATCCACAACAGTAGGGTATCTGGGGCGAGACATACATGAAAAGTTAAAAATTGGTATTTATTGATCATTATAAGTTAACATTATAACTAAACAGGATGAATTAGGTGCCACAGCCACTCGGGAAGGAGACTAAAATGACCTGACCTGAACAGGGGGAATAGTCATACTGGAGTTATCACCAGAGTTGAGATTTGAAATGTGGATAAAATGTGAATATGCTGAGTGGGAAGGATTTTGTGGCAAAAATAATTATATAATCAAAGGTAAAAAGGCAGAACTAAACATGCTATGTTTAAATCATGCTCATCAGTTAGCCTGGAGCATTTAAGCAAGTTTGTGAGGACAGGGATTAAGTCTTTCTTATTTAGCATTATATACTATTATATATTTTCTTATTTAGCATTAGCAAAATAAATACTATTATTTTTTGAACAAATGTTCAAAATTAGTTTGGAAAAGGTTTCTGAAGTCTCATCCCATTACTTATCTCCTCTACATCAGATTAGCTACATCAAAATCAGATCCAGATGTAGATGAGACTCTTTAGGTATAGTTGCTTAAGTGTAACGCCTCAAGTATAGCTCTTCTGAATCGGAAGACCTGTGAACTAAAGAGACAGGTTCCCTAATTTTCCCACCCCACCCCTGTATACCACCTACTCACTCAGCATACAATGATGGGACAGGCATAAGATAATTGCTATAGACTTTGCTGTTCAAACAGGAGAAAATAAGGGGCACAAAGAAGTCTCTGGTCAATTATGCTTTTGAAATTTGGGTGGGCAAATGTTGGAGATTTCTTTTTTTTTTTAACTTTTTTTACCTTTTTTTTAACTGAGTTATAGTCAGTTTACAATGTTGTGTCAAATTCCAGTGTAGAGCACAATTTTTCAGTTATACATGAACATACGTATATTCATTGTTGCATTCTTTTTCGCTGTGAGCTACCACAAGATCTTGTATATATTTCCCTGTGCTATACAGTATAATCTTGTTTATCTATTCTACATATGCCTGTCAGTATCTACAAATTTCGAACCCCAAGTCTGTCCTTTGTCCCTTCCCACCCCCCCATCCCCTTGGCAACCGCAAGTTTGTATTCTATGTCTATGAGTCTGTTTCTGTTTTGTATTTATTGGTTTTTTTTTTTTTTAGATTCCACATATGAGCGGTCTCATATGGTATTTTGTTTTTCCTCTTTCTGGCTCACTTCACTTAGAATGACATTCTCCAGGGACATCCATGTTGCTGCAAATGGCATTATATTGTCATTTTTATGGCTGAATAGTATTCCATCATATAAATATACCACATCTTCTTTATCCAGTCATCTGTCTATGGACATTCTTAATTACACCTCAAGACCTTGCAATAATTCTTTAGGGTTCCAGGCTTAGCCCTCTGAGTTCTTAGTTCCTCCGAGTCTTCTTTCCTTTTTCATGAAATGTAGCATGTGTTTGCAGCTGAGGAGTTTTCTCAGTCTGCTTCCTGCCAGCAGAATTTGGGGGGGGGGTCCAATGGTCTCTTCAGTTTGTACTGCCACTCTCCATTTCAGTTGAAGTTAGCAAAATGTTTGCTGATACAATTCTCTCAAAAATTTTGCCAGCCTCTCAAATAACGTTGGGGTTTATTCTATTAGATAAAAGACACATCCAAGAACCTCTTCTTGGTTCTGCAGAGATAAGAAGATAAAATTCTCTCAAGCTTTCTAGAGGACCTTTTGTTTCAGAATATCTGAGACATCCTTAATCTTTTTAATGGGCTTTTTATATAACTGATTAATACTATGAGGTGCCAACTGTGATCGTAACAAAAGGTTTTACAGTCACCCCATCAAGTTTCATTTTCAGGCCATGTTCTGGCAGTGCCCTGAATTCAAATATCATTTAGAAACCGTTCTTAACTTTAGCATCTTTTACCATCTTGAGAGGCTGAGAATTTTCAACATCATTCATGTCCTGGTTTCTTTTTTTAAATTTAGCATTCCTTTCTTTAGTTTATCTCCCTTCTTCTGCATTTACTGAAGCATTCAAGAAAAAAAATAGGCAGCACTTAACAACACTTTGACTATGCTTGACAGTCCTCTTAGCTAGATCATTCAGTTCATTTAGGCACATTTCCTACTTTCCACAGTACTGAAGGTGATAGTGTTGCAAAGTTTCTCGTACAATTTAATAAGGATCTACCTTCCTGCAGTTGCCAAAAACATTTTCCTCACGTGCTTTTTAGCCCTCATGGAAAGTATACTCAAAGTCCAGCCTTCTACAAACACACTGTTCAGGCAACTTAGGCTTTCTCTACCATGCTCCTCAGAATTCTTCCAACCTCTGCCTACTGCCAAGTTCCAAAGCTGTTCCCATATTTTAAATTATTTATTGTGGCATCACCCCATTTCTAGCTTTCAACGTCTTTTCTAGTTACCTCTTCCTGTGTTACATATTTAGTGGCTGAAAACAAACATTTATTGTCTTACCCAGATTCCTGACTCAACCAAAGTGTATGACTTAACTAGGTCCTCTGCCTCAAAGTCTCTCTCAAGGTTGTAATCAAGGTGTCAGCTGGGGCTGTGGGCTTCTTTGAAGGTTCAGCCAAGACAGAGTCTGATTCCTAGCTCACTGATGTGGTTGTTGGCAGGGATCAGTTCAGATTCTATTGGCTGGAGGCTTCTTTTATAGGGCAATTGACTAGAGGGCTTCCATTAGAGCAAAAGAGGGCTAGCAAGACAGAAACCAGAATTTTTTTTGTAACCTAATCTTGGAAGTAACATCCCATCACTTTTGCCCTATTCTGTTTGTTAAAAGTAAATCAGTGAGTCCAGCCTACGCATGAGTGGAGGAGATTATACAAAGGCATGAATACAGGGAAGTAAGGATCGTTGGCAGCCATCTTAGAAACTATGATCTTTGGCCACTGTTAACGTGTGAATCTGCATTCACTGGGTTTGAAAATTGGAAGAATATCTATAACACACCAATGAAATAAGGATCTTCACAACATTGTAACTTACTGAAACTTGAAAATAATTTTATGAGCTTAACTTCTCCACACAAACCAAGTTTTAGTCCTACACAAATGTACCCTTTGTTCATATATTCACATAAAATATGATGGACTATAAAACTTTTAGAGAAATTTTTACAATCAAAGCACGTTTGACTTTGGATAGATGAATCAAGTGCTTTTTTTCTTTTTCCCAGGTACCAACACATGTTAGTATTAACAAGATGCATGAAATGATATAAATGATTTCACTTACCCTAGATTAGTTCTGAGATACAATTTATTCCTTTACTTTTTACTGTAATATTGGAATTACGATGGAAGAGGTAATATTGCTTATAGCTTTAATGCAGTAAATATGGGTAGTATGACTCTAGGAGTAATTATACACACAAACACATGTGAAGAAAAATCCGATTATTTTTGGTGTTGGAGTATGGGGCTGGGAAGAATGGTTGCAATAGCTTACACTTATCCTAGAAAATATATTTTCATTGAAAGATGGAAACATTTGACGATTTTTATCTTTATTAAATATTCATTATTCCTGCCCCAAACCTTTTTAACTCTTGGCACAGAAACCACTTTAACAGATAAGAATGTCTTACTAGCCTGAAAAATAACAGTAATTACTTTTTTCTGTAGATTATTTTAGTCTTATTTGGTTCAAAACTAGGCTTTATGTGGTCTGATAAATTCAATGATATTTAGGTTGAAAATGCATAGTAAGTGCATTTAAGTAATTTTTCCAATTTTGGATTTTAGAAATATCATTATTTTTCTTCCATGTTTCCTGGAAAGTATGGTGGTTTGGAATGGAGGAAGAGAGCTTATATAGATGTCTAAAGCTATTTATTTTAGAGTTTGCAACTAAATCTCTGACTAGGTTTGTGATACTGAGAAAAATTGCCAACAACAATAACATGTTATTAAATAATGTTGTAGGTATCTAACCATATTTTAGGATACCATTAACATAGTTCCTTTCTAGATTATCCCTAATATATAAAGCTGTCTTTTTCTCTCCTTTGCAGGTAATATAACACTACAAAGCAAGATGGGTAACATCACGGTAGGTATGTGCTAAGCTGTTAGTGTTAAATTTTGCATGCTTTTT